CAAAGGTTTCGCAGCCCTAGAGGGCCTTGGACTCTCATATGGGCGGCGCGGCGTAAGTGAGGTTTGCGAGCGAGCGTTGGGTCGAATCGTTTAGGTGTAATAGCGTTTAGGTAGGTACTAGCAGCACAAAAGAGTAGAAATATTACTAATGGCAGTATCAATGAAGGTAGCAACAGTAGCTCTGATAGTAGCATGTCAGGAGTGCGTGTCGTCTTTGAGGGGCAGCCTCATGTCGCATAGAGCCTCCCACCCCTACAACAGAACCCCAATCTTGCAGTTGTAGTAGGCATCCATCGTCTGTACGGGTCTCATACCATGACAAGAGGGTTTTCTAGTCAGAGGGCTTTGGCACGCCTAACCGGCCCTACCCATTGATCATTGGAACCCTGCTCATAGGATCTTAATTTGGAAGCCTGGGGTTGGCAAAGTCCTCTTATTTCTAAGGTTGAAGCCATGGGCTGCCAGTATGGGCCCTTAGGCCTTTCAGGGTGATCCTAGGGACGCTCAAGAGGTACATATATATATATATATGTAAGGTATATACTAGGGGCCCATGGTTTCAACCTTACAGATTGTTGCTTTCAGTATCCCAGCGTCATTTCTGAGCAGGACAAACTCTCCAGATCTCCGTGTTGAGGAGGCCGTACAGGTTTAGGGCTTAGGGTTTAGGGAGGTGTCTGATGTTCGTCCCATAGCTTTGGGGGATTCCCATAGGTATGTAGCGGGAATCCTCTTTCTTCTGAAAATCCAATGTTTCGGAGCCCACCGAATGTTCCATGGACCTAAATGGCGAAGCTGTATATTATATGTATATATATATATACACAAACGAAAATTGATGTTCCTCTTACCCAGCCGTTGCTAGTCGTTGCGCTACAGCTATGAGCCCCGGCGCAAAGTCTATTAAAGTGCTATGGGAACTCATGGCATGTCAAGGTCCAATCGCATTGTAACTTGCAAGGCCATACAGGCTTCAAAGCATGTGGTAGTTTGTGAGAATACCTCCAATTGAATCCTTCCACCAGAACAATCTCCCTACAATCCCCATATACCCCCGCGCTCCTTCAGGGTAGGGCCCACATGTGGACCCGAACTTCAACCAACAGCGCGCATTGCCCTTGTGCCTTTGAAGGCTCACACTGTTGCGGATTCACAGCCTGTTCGCGAACTTGTAATGGAGATCTGATATGCTGACGATGGAAGCCTTGCACTGGGGCAGAGCTCGTCTGTAACAGCGGATTGCTGTTCGGAGCCTTTCCTGGGCGAGGATGTTTTTTGTCGCCGGGAGGCTCTCAAAGTTATGGACTCCTTAGTTGCCGTCAAAGTACAAGGATCCTTCTTCGAGAACCCCTGTAGTTTCCATTTTCTTTTCCATAACCCCTATATAACCCCTATATAACCCCTGCATAGCCCCTATATAACCCCTATATAACCCCTATTTAACCCTTGGGATCGCTGGCTTGGTTGGAGACCAGCCGCGGCGCTTTGACTCAATTGTGACAACACCTGCCACTGAGCGGCCTGACACAAGGGGTGGGGCCTTTACTATGTAGTTGGCAGACTTTGGTATCATCTATAGTCAAATTGTGGCCATAGAGTACCTACAGACTCACCAACCCCTGAAACCCTTTGAATACTCACTTGAATCATCTTCTGTGGTGTTGAAGAGGCAATTTGTCTGTGCCGTGGTGTTGAGCGGTAGTTAGGATCGCAAAATTCCAGAATGTCTGAGGCCAGGACATGAACTGGAAATCAACTTTTACAATGCTGCGTAGCATCTTCCTCAGCAGCCAGCCGAGATTTTCGCCAGCGGTTTTCAATCCTGAGACCTTCAAAGGGTCAAGTTCTGGCGGGGTCCGGTAGTCCTCCTGAACAGGAAACTCCGGTTTCGCTTTCAAATCCACCAGACGCAGTAGGAGGCCATCACCACTTGCACCCTCCCACGGAACGTAGGTTGCTGTATCAAGATGCACATAGGCTGCAGTATCTTGAGGCAACATCACAGAATTAGGATGTATCTCTACATGTCTCAAGAAAATTTGCCTCAGCCAGCCTTTGTGCCCTATGGCCTCGTGCTGCGTCCCAAGTTATCAAGCTACGCCACTGTGAGCAACCCACCCACCATGCCTTCGCATATCTTTGCGTCATACTACTTTGATCTTCAAATGCGAGGGTCGCATGCCGTCATGTGAAGAGTCTTTCGTGACACCCTCCCAGTAACCTTGTTTGGAGTTCCAGGGTGCTGAAGGTGTAGTAGAGGGTAGTTGGAGGGTCTAGGTACAGGCCCAAACCCTACACCCTAATTAGCTTAAACCCTGAACTGTAGCTTCCATGTCCTTGTCACAAGCCCTATACCCCTGTATACCCTATACCCCTGTATACCCTATACCCCTGTGTAAGCTTTACATAACCCAGATTGACACCCCCCCTGTCAACCCTATCTAATGTACTCCACCAACACACGAAAATTTAACCCCTCATATTTCAATTCTTTTATTTCCCTACATTTCCCTAAATCCCTATCCCGCCCCTCCCTCGGCCTTCCTAGCCCTTGGTTTAAGGTTTGTTTCGTTTAGGGCTCATAGTTTAGAAGAGTTCATTTTTAGAGCTTGGGGTTTGGAGTTTAGGGTTTAGGGTTTAGAGCTTGGGGTTTAGAGTTTAGGCCTACAAGGTCTAAATCCTAGCCCCCCTGCCCAAACCTAAGGCACTGAACGCTAAGCCCTTGCGCGCTTTGCCCTAAACCCTTCTTGCACATTTATTGGTAGCCTCGACCCCCCAAAATTAGGATCCTATACTATCATCTGACTGCATTAGACGTCATTTGGGGGGTTGGGGTTACCAAAATCTCCTAATTCCTATTAATTAGCCCAAGCGCCAGAACCTAAACACTAAAACCTAAACCCTAAACCATCCGATTAACAACTTAGAAATCCAAAGCTGCTGAAGCAACGGTGGGTGGAATCATGGCTTTTATGCAAAAAGTTCGGATGGTGGCTTCTGGATATGAGCTATAATCTAAACTCCTTGAAGGGGTTATGTATGGGGACTACTATAGGGGGTATTAAGAGGGATATTAGGAGTTTAGACTGTAGCTCATATGATGGTTTTGCATTTAAGGCTTTGGAAATGGGGTTTTGTGGTTTGGGTTTTAGGGTCCAGGAGGTTCGAACGGTTTAGGGCCGGTGCGGATAAAACGCGGGATAGTGTGGCGTGTTGATTATCTACCTGGTGCTTAGAAGGGAATGGGGGATTGCATCAATATTGGGGATTATATCTGGACTGCTGAAGGGATCCATTCCCCCATTCCCTACTAAGCACCGGGGAGTTACATACGTGGTATTCAGGGGTTCTCAAAAACACGGGCATTGTTCGGGCACCTTGGTGCTAGTGATTTTTGGTAGCTTCCCAAACATAAAGGCTTACCCCTACACCGAAGCACTATATTCCCAGTTATGGGAACTCCCGACATGTGTACGTTAATTTTTGGAAATTCCTTTTTGGGGCATGTGGAGTTATGTGGGGTGACCCAAAGGCCCTGCAAACACTGTCTGACAATGACCAGAACCAGCGCTATTGTCAGTGATGCACTCCTGCGCGAGTAAGAGGAAGAATCTAAGGACCCCTAGGGATGCCGGGTCATTCCGCGTTGTAGCCTGTATTAAATTTCCTCTATTTACCAGGGAGAAGTATCATGAAGGCATAGTACAAAAAAGATGGACAGGCCTTGTGGCAAATCAGCGGGTTAGGGTTTAGGTGTTAGGGTGGAGGGTGTGTCACGGACCTCCGACGTTTTCCAAACCATGCAGGCTGATCCGGTACTGTAGCAGTCGTTGTTTCGAGAGTGGAGTGGCCGTTTCCGAAGCATGCGCTCTGATGTAGTAGTATAATAGGAATATAGTAGGACCCTAATATAATCCCTATTATCCCTTATAGTCACTATTACTGGGTGGGGGGTCCACCTAAATTATTACAGCATGTATCCCACTGTGCCCCGTGCCCTGCGCAGCCGCCGAGCGTTCAGGAAGTTAGGTCAAGTTCATCATTGGCATTATTCTTGGTATTCATATGTTTATCAATACTGCTACCATCGGAGCTTTAGCCCCGAAGGCTTTACGATATTAGTATTAACATTGACGCTAATAATTTCAGTAGTATTATTGCCATTATTGTCATTATATTTGGTAGTTTTCTTATTACGACTACTTGAGTTTCAGCTCCATCTTCGACTCCCTTCACATAAGCAGTGCACCAGGCAGCCGTTGCCGCCATGTCAGAGCACCGTTTGACAATCGAGGACGCCTGAACTCTTCGGGATTGACATTTTGCTGGCTCGTTATACATCACTACCCTCCCCCACCCCAAATATGAAGCATTGCATTATTCCCCATGTCAGATTGCACCTTGGGGGCATAAGTTCTTGTCAGGGGTGGCAGCTGCTCAGCATTAGGATTTAGTAGCTTCCTTGCTCTTTTCGAGAAAGAGTGCAACCTTGTGAAATTGCAACATCTGCACTCAATCCTAGCGGGGTCACAACAATCCCCTCACGATCTGCAGATCTCCTTTGAGATTCTCGGAACCAAAGTTTCGAGCATCCCCAATGTTTGCAAGCGGTGATCGAAATTAATCATAGGACGAATGGAAACTATGACAACGCAACATGGTTGGAGTGATCGATAAAGACGAGTGTATAATTAGTGTTAAACGACAACATATCATGATAAAACTGTAAAGGATCATGCAGCTGACTATGGCTTCACTCATGTGCTCACTTGCACGTATGTGATGCACGTTGCACCACAATGAGCCTGGCTCATTAGTAGTAATCCGCTACAATTCAGGCACATGTCAGCTTGTAAAACAGTCATTTTCATTTAGCTGCAGTGTTTGAAGCCATTCATCCCACACCCTAAACCTGAACCGTACTTACAAAGGGCTACGGGGTGCCTGATTCTTTCTGGAGACAGATCCCTGATAGAATCCACGCAATTCGTCAAGTCAAGGACCCCATTTGCGATGCCTGGACCATCAAACAAGAGAAGCCTGAAGTTCTTGAAGGGCTTCCTCTGGACACATGGACCCTCTCAGCTGCACTTCTTGCTTGCATGGTCACCATGAAGGCTGTAGCCCACAGATTGCTTGAGCATAAGTGTGAGGGAGCGGGCCGTGAGCAGGTGGGCATTAAACAAAGGATTGCAAGCCTGCCGGAGTATGACTTTTTTGCAGGAGAGGTCGTTGCACAAGGGGCGGTACTAATCAGGAAAGTTAGCCCACGTCAAAAGCTACAAGAAAGCATTGCAATGTGGCAGTGGCTGTACAGCAACTGTAGTATTCTGAGGACAGTCACTTGAAGCTGCGGGTATGCAAGCTAAGGACGAACTGGACGGCCAGCATTGGTAGCGTTTTGCAGACCTTCCGCCGAGCTCGACTCGTGAAGCTGGTCGGAGGCTCCCGAATGTGGGGCTGAGTTCAGGGCGAAGTGCTGTGCGCTATAGTCAAATTCCAACGACGACGCCCTGGATACCTTATCTCTTAAGAACGTCTACCAGTTGCTTCTTCTTACATCTGACTAGCCCATGGTTATTACTCGTGTCTTAGCCAGGGAATTCCGCTTAAGGCCATAGCCTAGCTCAAACCCAAAGGCAATGGGTCAGACTCCTTAATAATAGTACTACTAACAAGAATACTAGTAGCAATAATGCTAAAAGCAACCACAGTAAGACTCAACATCATTGCAATAGCATGTGGCCTTGGACTTTGCCACACCCTTCGGCCTTGCTGGGGTCAGGAGTCCAGAATACGGTACGCCGTATTATGCTGGTAATGGCTGGTAGTGATGAAAGCAAAGGCGGACAGGTCCATCCGTTCATAGTTGGTAGCTTCCATAAATAGGAGGACCTCAATATAGACCTTAAAATACTTTAGTCCTGATATTAACCCTAAACCCTCAACCCCAGCAAAGGGCCCCCCCGAAAAGGCACCCCTAATTTTGGGAAGTCCCCAATGACCCTTGCTGAAGCCCAAACCCCGGATGCTAGGGTTTAGGGTTTAGTCTAATGCAACTACAGCAGGGGAGTTACCATGTAGGGACCTTACACAAGCTTTATATACCCATTACATGTATATACCCCTTGTAAAAGTTCCTCCCATGGAAGCTCCCCTCCTATAGGGTGGATGGAGGACTTGTGGTACCACCTAGGATCTTCAAGATACAATAACCTTCGGATACTACAGGGCTTCCCACATGCACCGTAGCACACGACATTGCCTATCCTAGGTGTAGCTTTTAAGGAGCTGCCACCCAGCCTCTTTCGTCGACCAACGCCCAAACGCCAAAGACTGGCACAGAGGGATGTCTCATTTCGGTATATTTTTTGTTGGTTCAGAAGGCACTTAAAGCGGAAATGGCGATGTTCAACCGTTCCTGCGAGTAGAAAGTCCCATGATGCGGGTTTACAATGTCGTAAAAGCAACCAGAAGAAATGCTGCTTCCGCTGTCGTGGTGGCAGTTGCCAAGCAAGAGCAGCTCTGTAAATTCTAGTTGCAGGCCTGATCGCACTCATTCTCGGTGGCGCTTGCTTGATTGTCTTCATAGCTTCGTTCATGACGCTGACTGTTCCTTGGATGCATTTAAGGTTTGTCTGCCCTGGTTTAGTACAAAGCACACGCGGCTGGTCACCATGCAACCATGGCATCATTCTATTGAAGCCTTTGCCCACATCCCATGTTTAAGCGAACCTGTGCATCCCCATACCCCCTTTGAAGTGAACTTATGTAGCTCCAGGAAGAGGCGACCTGGGTCAGCATCGTAGCCCTGGGCATTGCCGTCCTGACGTGTGCGATCGCTCCAGCCACGTTCTTGATCCTCACGTGCGTTGAAGAATCTGCAAAAGCAAAGCTCGATGAACTGTGCTCCTTGGCAGCATGATTAGCAAACACTGAGAACCTGTCCTTCTCCACTGCGGTCATTGTCCACGGCTATTGCAGCAAGACTATGACGGGCACTGACAGAAAAGCACGGCATGGTGGAACTGTGGTGGCAAAGTTTTGCATACATCGAGAAGTAGCAGTCACATGCCATGTTGCATACGTCTAGCGTGGTGTACGAGAAGGAGGAGTCACATGCCATGTGCAGCTCCCCGGTTCTCCGGGTGGCTTTCCATGTAATCTTCTCCCCCTCCCCAAGTATTTACCATCATATGGGTGGTTGTCAAAATTATGGTCCCTTTTTGGATCCCCATTATAATACGGCACCTAATATTTAGCGTACCCAAAAAGGGACCATGATTTTGACAACCACCCATATCTTAGGGGGAGTATTTGCTATTCGGAGGGTGGGGAGGAGCAACCTGCCTCAGGCAAGGATCTTGCAAAGGAACGTGCTGGCCTCTCAGTGAGGCTCGAAGTGCAGTTGCGCAGTTTGCCGACCATTCTTAGGGTTTAGGGCTTAGGGTTTGAGGTGCCTCCCTTTGGTTCTGGGCGGTTTAGGATGTAGGGTTTCAGGTTTAAGCAAAATCCCTGGGACCCAGGAAGATAAGGATTTTACCCCTTGATGGCGAATGAAATGGACAAGGAAATGGGAAATCACAAGATAACTGGGTTGATAGGGTAGGAGTTGTAATGATAATATATCCGGACTGCATGACCCCACATGCACTAGACTGCTGCAATTCTCAGGGCGTAGGTGTAGGTTATGATCGAATAAGTAAGTAAGTATATGTGTATAATGCACGTGATAATGGTCCTTCTGTAGAGATTAATTCTTGTTAAGGCCCGGAAAACGGGATTGATCCAAACAAAGAGGAACCCCAATAAGCTTGTTGTTTGAACAGAAGTCCCTGGGGTCCCGGCGGCACTGAGAGCTTATGTGTTGCAACTGTCGACTCTGCCATGTCAGGGTGGATGAGAAGGCATGGAATCCAGCTCCACAGCAGCAAGCAGATACGAACCGGGGGTCTGTCTGCATGAATAGGGGGGGTCCCATCAAAGACCCCCATATATCATGCCTCTTGCTATGGGGACCCCGGAAAAGGGTTTAACTCATATGTTGCGGCAGGCAGCGTGCAGAGAAAGTCTCTCCGACTGATGTCCCTGGTGTATTCGACGCCCTGAACCCTAAACCCTAGGGGCGGAAGTACGTCGGCAAGAAGGCGATCATCATCTCGCAGAGACTCGGCTTCCATGTCCAGGGTTCAGGGATACAGGGTTTAGGGTTCAGGGATTTCAGCGCAAGGCATGTCCGGCAACGTATGGCAAGCATTTGGGAGTCCACTACGAGCTGAAGATTCCCATCCCCCCTACAAATGAGCCTCCCCCCAACCGCCGACTAATAATGATGATGATAACTGGCAAGAACACGAAAATCGATATGGACAGGGCTCATCATAGCAGTTTCCATTTCATTTTCCATTTTCTTTTCCATTTGATTCTCCATTATTAAGGGGCCATTAAGGGGGATAATTAAGGGAGGGGGGGTTGAGGAATTACCGATGCCGACATAATTGGCGGGAAGTAGGGGGAAGCAGGAGATCGCAGACCTTGCTCGGTTTAGGGTTTAGGGGT